CGGTTTGCATATTCTTCCCTACTTTTTTCTATCTGGGGAGGATCAATGGAGTCGTTGGAGACGCGCTCCAGAGGTGTACAAGAGCGAACGTTCTGCAAATGGTACTAATCCTCTTACTTTTTAGTCTATCTCATGCCGATCTCGCCTGGATGATAGGCTGAATACTAAGCTAGAGATGAATGGGTATCCTCCGATGACATCCCTGGTCAACGATTTGTCCGATGGCGTTCGGCTTATTCAACTTATGGTGTGCCCTATTGGTTAAAGTTACTCATTCGACTTATGATATAAATTGTGTCCCCACAGGAGATTATGGGTTTGACATCAGATCTATAAGGTTGTAAAAATGTTCAACCCCACTCCTAGGTGACACTTCTCTTGGACGCTATAACAAAACCCCTCGTATGCGTGTACAGAAAGCCGAAAATGTGAACAAAGCCCTCGAGTTCATTACTTCTCGCGGCGTGAAGCTCACAAACATCGGCCCAGAAGGTGAGTTCTAAGCTACTGAAAATAAAACCAGGATCATTTATTCCTTGTTTGAGATATCATTGACGGGAATTTGAAACTTATTTTGGGTATGATATGGACATTGATCTTGCGCTTTACCATCGCAGACATCAGGTATGCCGTTGCTCGCAATCGAAGGTATCAATCTTACTTTACTATCAGCGAGGAGGGTCTTTCTGCTAAAGAAGGTCTCCTTCTTTGGTGTCAACGAAAAACGGAACCGTACAACGAAGTTGATATCCAGGACTTTTCTTTGAGCTGGTCGGATGGACTTGCTTTGTTCGTGCGCTGCGATTTATACTCTCTTGAAGTCAAAATCTTGAACGCACGGCGATCAATCTAGGTGTGCTTTGATTCACCGGCATCGTCCTGACCTTCTGGATTACGACAAATTGGATAAGGTACTGCAGTGACTTCAGAATTTTCTGGCAGAGCTCAACGCAAATTTACTTAGACAGACCGGCATGGAAATACCACTCTTGCTTTCACAATAGCTGCGGAGCACCTGAACATACCTGTAAGCTGTGTCCATTACCTTTAATATGTGGCATGCGAGGTGAAGTACGCCTTAGCAATTGCTCGAAGTAGAGGATTTGTGCGATTCTAACCACCCGGACGAGCGGAGCGTTATGACATATATTGCTAGCTTCTTCCATGCCTTTTCCTCTATGGGTGAGTTATCATCGCATCAGTCAGCTAAAGAGTTTGCTCACAGTTGAGTTCAGATCAGGCAGAGACAGTATCGCGACGGGTAGAGAAGTTTGCAGAACTGATGCAATCCGTCTGGGTCAGCAGAAATGACTACGAACGTCGAATAAAGCTCGTATGTAAAATCACCATATTCAGACGTTATATCTCTTTACATCTGAACAGCTACTGTCTGCTTTAGCTGAAACTCAATTCCAATGGGCTGCTACAGTTTTCTCTGGCAGTTATACAGACGCCAAAGAGTTGTCAATGGATTTCGCTACATACAAGCAGACCACAAAACGAACCTGGGTGACGGAACGACAGGACCTTGCTACACTATTTGGGAATGTGCAGACCAAACTCAAAACTTATGGACTCCGGGAGTACGTTCCTCCGCTCGGACTAGCGCTTTCAGATCTCGACGAGGCTTGGAAACGACTTTTGGCTTCTGAGGCTACCAGGTCGAGATCCATTAATGCACAAATAAGAGAGCATGTCCACCAAGTGTTCTTTCACAAACCCGCTGGCTGACCCGAGCCCTCTTAGGATAAAGGAGTCTCTCCGAAAAAAATTCGCAGACTTGGCGAATGACTTCGAGCGACGGTTGCATGCCATCTCTATTGAGCTGACTGCGATTGAAGGAACCCTAGAAGTATTGTTAGCGTCTTTATCTGCGTTTTTTTTTCGCTAACGCAGTATCAATAGTCTCAGCAAGGACAGGTGCAAGAAATACAAATACGATTACCCGCGCTGAAAGATGTTCTAGTTGTTGTCGCCAGTGTAGAGGATGAGTGTGGAGCAGCGAATGTCGAGGAAAATGATTATACAGTTTTCACTTGTCAAGACCTTGCTTTTGAACTCGAACTGCTCAATCAGAGTGTTGTGAAGAAAATTGCCTTTATTGATAACCAGGTCCTTGGGTTCTGTTAGATTGCACTGTCTCCAGTTTGCTCACGATGCATTTCAGATCGTGTCAAGGAACATGACCAATCTTACTCCGGCGCAGCTTGAACAGTTCGAAAGCGCGTTCCGATACTTTGACAAGGACGAGACAAATACGCTCAGTTTGCCTGAAATGACTGCAGCACTTGCCAGTCTAGGCATTGTATACACCGATGAGGATATGATACTCATCTTCGAGGATTTGACTCAGGTGTATGGCGCGGTGACATACGAAGCCTTCATCAAACTCCTCGTAAGGTTTCAATGGCATCCAAGAATAACGCCCTGACAATTCTTTGTCTTCGTAGGTTGACATCACGGAAGATCAAACGTCACCAGAGCAACTGCGCGAAGCGTTTCGAGGAATTGCGACTGACAAAGTGTGTACTGCGCAGATGCCCGGCCTTGCGGATAACTGACATATGTATAGCCTTTCGTAACTGAGCTCGATCTCCGCATTGCACACCTTCCTCAATCTGCAATCGACTATCTGCGTGAGGCAATGCCAAGTACTTACAATAAGGCTGGAGAGTCGGAGTATAATTATGAGCGATGGCTGGACGACGTATTCGCGTAGTTGCGCAGTATTAGATACGGATATATGTTGAAAGTCGTCCCATTAATACATGAGTTGGTTCAAGTTTTGAACCTGTTTGACGTTCTGATCACGATAAGAGGATCACGCGTATGATCGTATAGTTGTTTCAACACCACAGCCACATCTCAGCTTTCTTCCGCTCATCGTCTATTCATCGCTTTTGAAACACGAAATGGTGGGAGCAACAACTCTTTGAGTACATTTATCAAGCTCAATCAGCCATAATCCAGGCTTCTGGTGTTGGCGTCAACCCGAATTGTCTTGAAGAATTCCAGGCGCTCAAACTCAAAAAGACGCACAAATATATCATCTTCACGCTGTCTAGCGACTCCACAGAGATCGTAGTCGAGAAGACATCTTCTTCCAACAAATTTGATGATTTTATCGAGGACTTGCCCGAAGCAGAATGTCGATGGGCAATCTACGACTTCGAATTTGAGAAGGAAGATGGTGGCAAGAGGAACAAGATCACCTTTGTCTCCTGGTATGTATCGATATTCGAAATATAATCGTCTTTTGTACTTTCCGGATGTTCTTCCCAATGTTTCTGTCGCTATGTTAGCTGATCTTACGTCTTAAGGGCCCCCGACACCGCCAAGATCAAGCAGAAGATGGTCTTCGCATCCTCCAAGGACGCTCTGCGACGCAGTCTCGTTGGTGTTGCCGTAGAGATACAGGGCACTGATTATAGCGAAGTTGCGTACGAAAGCAGTATGTCCTTCTCTCTTTATCTCTGTTCGATTTCATCTCATGATTGCATCAATAGTCCTCGACAAGGCGAGCCGTGGAAACTAATTGGCTTCTTTTTTCCATACATCTTGTATCCTCTGTGCTGTGATCCCAGCCTCCCTCAGTACCCATCCTGCCTAGGAAAATCAATAATTGCATCATCTTTCATCATTTATAGTGGTATTTGAAATCCATGCCGTGACTCAAGTTCTTGAACCTCTCCAATCTCCGGCATTGTTTGATATACTCAAAGCATAATTTTTCGACGGTTTCGAGGGCATTTATCGACAGTTTCTTTGCCGTGTCGTTTATCCATGCTTGTCGGCCACCATCTACAATCAACGGAACTCTCTGCTACTAATGATCCGCTAATTGAGCATGTATGATATGTACATGGACTCTTTCTCACGTATAACTCTTAGATCAATAACAATGTCAAGATCATTGAGCGCCGTTGTCCAAACTCTGCATGTTGTTCTCAACCGCGTATCATGTTCACGGAATATGTAAGACGAAACGCACTCTACGTCTTGAGTCTGCTCTCGCATTTTTACCAGTTTTTCGCCTACCTGAAGCCTCTCTTCTTTCTCGACCCAATCTTTTCCCTCGTTATGTTCGGCAAGTTGATCCAGACTTTCCTTTCTGTCTCTCTTTTCATCTCGCCTTTCGCTCGTTTCCAGTACGCGTATAATTCGTTAACGAACATATCTTGAATTAATAGTTACACGCTAGGACTGGCTTTTACGGAAACGATCCCACAGAAGAAAGCGTGTGCGTCTCTGAGCAGATCTTCAAAGAAGATAACGTTTCCCTCAGCGAGTCGGGTGCTGCAGTCGCCAAATTATTACCTACTTACCCGTGCTCATGGTTCAGAACTTTCATCTGATCATCTTCTAAAAAAAATCAGATTCGCCACGTCTGAGACCTAGCCGCCTTCGACGGTAGCGTTTGCTACAACAGCCTGAAAATAAACATCGATCTTGACAGATCTTGACAGCCTTTTCCGACTAGAATTATCTATAACTCAGGACAGGTTGATTTCTTTGCCTTGTCATGAAGACTCACTGGTTCATATATCGAACGGGATTGATTCCGACCTACTAAAGAAAATACTTATCTCGGCCAGGTGAGGTGAACTCCTTGAATGTTTTCACTCTGGGGTAGGTACTATCCTCAATCCTCATTCCCCTCGTAACCAACGGAACGGAATTCTGGGTTTTCCAATGCAACCCAGGACTCCACATCTCCATGAGACTATCGTTCAGCACCAAACCTTGACGATAGGACTGATGCAATCCACATATCATGCTTGTTATTCCCTTGTGTTGCTAGGGAAGTGGGTGTGATGTCACAAGAGCTGTGCGTCAATGCAGCTATGCTTCGTTATTATATATGATGTGATTCGACGTAGCGAGCCGGATTGCGCTATACACTGTGCTTGCGAAGTCTTTTGCTATCCGCAGCAGAGGCTATATATTTGACATTGTCAATGACATCGATAAAATAAAATACAAAGAAAAAGTACCCTCATTGGCCAACGTGGGGATCGAACCCAAGACCTTCGCGTAACATACAGAATATTAGCACGACGCTCTAACCAACTGAGCTAGTCGGCCGATGAAATCAAGGAGGGATAGAGACTATACACAGGGAGTTGCATGTACATGCGTGCCTGACATGTTCTTCTAAGTACACATTCTGGAAGTACTCAACTTCTCTTGAAGATATGATTTCGTGTTAGCTAATCTAACGTCACACCTTGATGCTTTTGGCGAGCAAAAACATGAATATGAGCAAGACCTGGGACGCTCTGTAACCTCTGCTCATTCAATGAGCAGAAACATGGCAAAAAGCAAACGGATCATCCTACCGGGGGATTTACGAACCAGGCAGTTTCCCACAACGATTCGTCCCAGCGATTTCTAACGAACTCTTGAATCTCTTCTCCTGCACGTCGAAGCAATTCAGCCTCGTCTTCATTTGGCGCTGCTGATCTAATGAGCTTGTCTACCGTAATGCCCCAGTCAGAAAGGGCAGGCAGACATGAATGGAGTGTAGATGGGGAGGGTGGTGGAGAGGTAGAACCCGTGAAGCCCCAAAGTCCATCTTGTTCTACACGTGTTGATATACGTTTCGCCACAAGGTCCTCGTGGTATATAGGCAAGCGAGTCCAGATTAGGGTATGTTCTACTTCGGGCGGAACTGTGGCCTATGTTATAAGTAGAACAATGGTTCGAAGGCAAATGGAGCGTGCCAGAGTAAGGCCAGTCATTCTGAATAATGCTCAAGTAATCGCGGGGAGCATTGCGAGTGAAATACTTAGGTGCATCATTGGAAAGTGATGTAGGTCCGTTCTTAATGCTGCCATTCTGAGGCGGTAGCTCAGGCTCGTCTACGTCTAGGGCTGAAGTCAGTAGAGACAAAGTGTCACGTTTCCCCCATTGTAGTCTGTAGTTCGTGAGATAATTGACTACAGATCGTCCGAAAGTTGAATCAGCTCTGAGCATCAGGGCCGTTACACGTCAGACGCACTGATAGAGCCGTATTCTGCTTTGATACCTACGGCCCATTCATCGTACCTTGCTTGAAGCTTCCTGTCCCGTTTAAGAAGCCCCAGGTCACTAGATTATCGTGTCAAGAAGCGTAGAGATAATTCTGAGACAGACTACGGAATACCCAGAATTCACAAAAGTCTTGAGCTGCGTCCAAGTGAACTTTGCCGGGTAGAAGATCAGCAATTCCCGCTTCGTCGGTGGTCCGGTTCTCAGTGTAACATCTTTTGGTGAGGGCATTGTAGCAGGTTTGGGGGAGATGGTCATACTGACCTCAACTCGTATCAATGATTGCATCAGAAAGAAAGCTGACGGACCAAGGCGGGCCGGTTCTATTGGTTTCGACCATCTTGCCCGTAACATGTCAACTTGGCGAAACCAGGCATCCAAGTCTACAAGCAGAGGAAGGGGTAGAGGGGTTTCTGAAGGTTTTCGATCCTCTGCCCCACCGAGAAGACAGATGGAACATATCGCATCTATTAGTAGGAGTAGTGGGTTGCAAAAGGACGGAGATACGTGAGCTTTCTTCCAGTTCGCCTGACATCTCCGTTGTGATAGACTGTAGGACCCCAGATTGAAGGATTTCAAGGTGCAGGAAGAGTATAGAAGTTTTTTACAGGGCAAGGTAGTATGCGCTGTGCTTCATTATTCGATGAATCTTAGACCGATGTTTCGCAGGTTGATGAAATTCTGAGGAAGTATCCACGACAATCCACAGAAATAGAGAAAGAGAAAACAGCTCGCGTAAACGCACAAGAAAATGTTCTTATATTCTTCCGTGAGTCGGCTACTCGCGACAGTGGGCAGTCCTCCCTGATCACTGTGCCAGGAAAACTCAGAGAAGGGATATCTTCGTCGAGGCGTACTGATGCCTTCGCCTTGGAAGGTATGCAATTACCTTAAGCGTACCTGTACTTGTCTCAAGTTTCTTCTGCTAGTCTACGAGACATCCTTATATCTTGCTACGCTCTTTGAGTCTCCAACACAAACCACAGCGGTCATTTCAAATCTAGTGCCGTCCTTGTATCTCACAACGCCTCCACCGCACAAGAAGCGCCTCAATACCGTACTGATATCCTTAATGCACCACCTTGTCACCACATACCCGTCACAAAGGACTTTTAGACAATTCTTCGAAACAATTCCGTCCGACTTCCTCCCGATAACTTCTGCAGCACACGTATGGATTACCTCGATCGCTAAGAGTCTGAGTACACAAAATTACGCATCTTTTGCGGTATTGAGTAGCTCGGCGAGTATTTCAAAGGTATTCGGTGATCCAGATGGTCTATTACGAACCATGGATTCTCTATCACTATCTGGTCAAGATATTGAAGGCTTGTCACATCGAGCCCTGTACACACTCGTGCACTCTCTGCGAAATAAGGTTCGAAACACGTCTTGGGGAATAATCCGATTGGCGTACCGAGAAGTATCATGCGATAATCAAGATACAAGGGCATGGTTGGAACGATCACTGTTCCTCCACTCTCTAGTTCCCTATTGTCATGACATTTCACTGGAGGAATGGTTCGAACAACGCAGTGCCCTTGGACACGCGCGACAGAAAGAGGGGGTCAAGGGCAAATGGGTAATCTACAGAGAGAAATGATGGGTGTGGCATATATTGCCCAATAATCTACGTATACGCAATTGATTCCAGAGTATTTCCTTGAAAATTGTAAAGTGGAATTCTACTGATGTGAATAATAATATTGGTCATGTAAGAGCAGTAATGGTATTGCCTACGCCTTGATCTCGACTTTACTGAGCAAGTCTGCAAGGTCATCTGCTGCTTTGTCTGCTGCTGTAGGCTCTTTGACTTCTTCCTCCTTCACAGGTTCTGCTGCTTCCGCCTCCTCCTCTTCCTCCTCCTCCTCCTCAAGGTCTTCTTCATACGCCAACAACTTGCCACCTCTCTGCTTCATGCTAAGTGCAATCTTCTCCAAATGTTCATCCTCCTCCTCCTGGTCGTTATCTTGAAGATCCAAACTCATCAAGCTCATTAGTGTTGTCGAAATATTCTCAGCAAAAAGCTTAAACGTCTCGCCCTCGAGATTATTGTTCTGAAGTTGTAGTGTGTGCAATTTCGAGTTTGAGCCGCGGGCGAGGGCAGAGAGAAGTATCGGAACTTCCCCATCAGTCGAAAGGTAGCAATCAGACAAGTTGAGCATTCGCAGTTCGGGCCACGACGATATTGCCTCTGTCCATGCGTCCAAGCCAGTAATCTCGCCATCATCCATGAACACGTTATCCTGCAGATCAACGTGTTCCAAATTCGGGCATTTGGCCAGCCCACGTCCAAGTGCCGCAATACCATCCATCCTTATACCGTTCTGAGGCATACGGACATCGACGAGGGTTCCGTGGGCAGCATACGCCTCAGCCCACACAGGTGCCGAGCCGTTTTCGAGACGATTGCGCCCGCAAATGACAGTACGCAAATTTGACTTTTTCCCGTCAGCTTTGCTGAGCTCGGCAGACTTGAGCAGAGCATTGGCGATCACAGCGCCACCTGCGGGACCAAGTCCGTTGTTGTTTAGCTTGAGAATTTGGAAACCTCTGTTTTCGGTGAGGAAGGGGACGATTGGATCAACAGATCGGCCACCAAACGCATTGTCGCTAAGATTAAGCTCCACAAGAGACGTCTTGTCCTTCAGTGCATCGCAGATTGCTGAGAGTGCTAGAGGGATTTCAGTGATAAGCCGGCCCGTAAAGATATCGGCAAAGTCTGCGATCTAAGAAGAGGGTTGATAAGAAAAGACACCATATGTAAAAAGCACGTACTTTAAGAACCGTGGTCTTCTTCAGAAACTCTGCGAGAGCTTGTGATGCCTCCACACCGAGGGTATTTCCGCCAAAATGGACTTCTTCGATCACAGTGGGATCGACAGTCGCAAGCAAAGGTTCTATATCGACACGAGTATCAAGCTTTAGGCCCCTCCCACTGATTGACAAGACTCTAGATGAAGTGGCCATTGTTTCTACTCAGACGAAGGAAAAGGAGAGAGTGATAAAGCACACGTCGAGACGACATCAAAGACAGAAATTTTGATCATTTGATCTAATCAGTCATCAGAAGACATTCATCTAGGATACCACAATTCCCAAGTCAAGTGCACCTACTTGTATGTTGAAGGAAAGTAATAAATAGTGAATACGTGAAATGTTCCGTTCGTTCCAGTACAACTAGTTTTGGTATTTTTCTTAACATGTCCACCTATTGATTGCAACGTTTTCACTTTAACGCACAAATATTGCAAGGGTATTTGCCTTGATCTCATGACCGATAACTTCGCGCGCAATAGCAAGATGATATGATACAAATGCAAGTTATAAAATACAAGTCAGCAATAAATTTACGCCGGAGGTCCTGGGGCAGGCCGACGAATCGTCACAGGAGGTTTTGGAGTAGTCGTTCCATCAGCAGGCTTTAGCCGCTTCGCGAGAGAATCGTCAGAGGCAGGAGGCTCTGGCTCCCGAGGACGTTTATTGGCGGCACCTATGATGGACACACCCCCAGTCGAAGCGGCGGCGGCGGCAGCTGCTGCAGCAGGTGCTGCTGGCCTCGAAGCAACTCCACGTCCCATTCCACCTCGTGGCGGAACCCTCATTCCTCGAGGCACGGCACCTCCACGTACGACAGTCCCTGCAGATGCTGGTCCTAATGACGGCTTTCGCGGAAGAGGAGTAGCAGTAGTCGATTTTGCAGCTGGAGGAACAGGAGCGTTGGTCGTTGATGCTGCAGTTGCTTTTGCAGCTGAGGGAGCAGGAGCGTTGGACGTTGATGCGGCAGTGATTGGATTTGAAGGTGTCGTGGTAGTTGTCGGTGTCGCTGGTACAACTTCTGGAACCAGCCCAGCAGTGCGCCACTCGAGGATCTGGGCTTCAAGATCCTTGACCTTTTTCTGTGCTCTGACAAGCTGGGCGTCTTTCAATTTTCCTTTCGCGACTTGTTCCATCCTACCCCTCTCTATAGCGGCCTCGATTTCCGTAGCTTGCTTTGCAGTCCAGGTCTTTTCATGTTCAGCGATTGCAGCTGACACTGCAGAAGCGATTTCATC